TAACACTATGTGAAACAACAGCAGTGAGAGTGGACATCCCTGTTGTGTTCCTGATCTCAGGGGGAAAGCTCTCAGTTTTTCCCCACTGAGGATGATGTTAGCTGTGGGCTTTTCATAAATGGCTTTTATGATGTTTAAGTATGTTCCTTCTACCCCGGCTTTCTTGAGGGTTTTTATTAAGAAACGATGCTGAATTTTGTCAAATGTTTTTTCCGCATCGATTGACAGGGTCATATGGTTCTTCTGTGCTGTCTGGAGTAACTTGTGTTGGTGGGCAGGGCCACAGTCAGACCGATGTCTGTCCCCAGCCCACTTCTGGGGCCACAATCAGACTGGTGTGTACTTTGTCTTCCCCTCTCCCAAGGGCAGGACTCACTGTGGCTGGTTTGGCCCCTGTCTGGGCTACTTGCACACTGCCAGGCTTGTGGTGCTGCTTTGATGGGATCTGGAGTGTTAGTCGGGGTGGATCTCCAAGGTGCACAAGGGCGGGAAGGGCAGGCTTAGCTCACTTTGCCCTAGGTGGTCCCCTGTGGGAGGGGCCCTGCATCACCAGGAGGGAGGCAGGCAGACCCGTTGGTGGGATGGATCCACAGAAGTACAGTGTTGGGTGTTTGCAGGGTGCAAGCAGGATCGGTGCCAGGAACTGGTTCCCTTTGGGATTTCAGCTGGGGGATGGGAGAGGGAGGTGGCACTGGCCAGTGCCTTGGTTCCCTACCGAGCTGAACTCTGTCTTCCAAGGCTCAACACCTCTCCCTCCCAGTGTCCTCTCGCCCTCCCGCTCTTGGAGCAGAGCTGTTGCGTTTTCACATTCCAGATGTTAAGTCCCACTGGCTGTCAGAACTCACGCATTCTGGCCCCTCCACTTTTGCAAGCCAGACTCTGGGATTCTGCCTTGCCGGGCGGGCTGCCACTTACTGCCCTGGCTGGCTCCCACCACTCCGTGTAGTGCGCACCGCCTCTCAGCCCTTCCTACCCTCTTCCGTGGGCTTCTTGTCTACACTTGGCTCTGGAGAGTCCGTTGTGCTAGTCTTCTGGCAGTTTTCTGGGTTATTTAGGCAGATGTGGGTGGAATCTAAGTGATCAGCAGGATGCAGTGAGCCCAACGTCCTCCTATGCCACCATCTTCTCCCTCTGTTCTTTTTCTGTAGATCAGAAAGAATTGGCAGCTTAAACTTATAGAGACAAATTTAGAATGGGGATTCTGCGACTGGGAGATGAAGGAAATGAGGTGATGTTGGTCAAAGGGCACAAACTTCTGACTCTAACATGAATAAGTTCTCATTAGAACACTAGTACAGCATGGTGATTATAGTTAACAATTCTACATTATGTACTTGAAAGTCGCTAAGAAAGTAGATTTTAAGTGGTCTCACT